GGAAAGTTGCTGGATTTGGGATCAACAGGTGGCAGCTCGTTAAATTATTGAGTTGCAGCCCCAAATGAATTTGAAGGAAATTGCAGATTTTTTGAGGCTTGCAGTCAAAAAGCAGGATTCCTGTCAGAACTTGTTCCTGCTGTAGCTTTCAGCTGCTTCTCCAAACAAAATCTGGAATGTGCACTGAGAGGGTTCCAGTTTTGAATGTACAATCAGCATATGTACCCAAAGCTGGATTGCTGTTAGAACTCACTCCTGCTTTGTCTGCAGAAGCTGATAGTAAAGTCAGGATTTTCTATAATTGCTGCTATAGAGAGCAGATATCAGTACAAGATAAATATAGAATGAGAAATTAGAGGGGCTGTAAAAGCCATATTTCAGGAATTATGCAAAACTAATCAAGGCTTCCTTCCCATTAGCAATAATGGTTTTAAATCTGATTGTATTGATCATTTATTTCCAATGAAAAGGTTGTATTTTTTAAGTAGAAATGGCTCAGTTTTTGTTTTAATGTATATATTGATTAAACATTAAATATAAAATTAAGTGGTTTATTTATTTCTTGCCCATCCCTAGCCCCAATAAAATCATTCAGATTCATTTATCATTTTAAGGAGTTATGGCATAGCAAAGTTTAAGAACCCCTGCTACAGTCTTTCTCAACTTGGAGTGCTCCAGATGTTAAGGGGTGCAACTTCCATTACCCATAGTGATTGTAGTCCAATATAACTAGAGTGCATCATCTTGGAAAAGGCTGGTCTGATTATAAGTAATGATTGATTGATTGATTGTATGACTTCAAGTCGTTGTCAACTCTTAGTGACCACATAGATTTTCTCCATCGTAAGCAATATGATAAGCAATGAATTTAATATAAATTGGAAAGCAGTTGATTAGCCAACCAAAACATTGAACTTTTCAAAGTAATGTTGTTTGAACAACAACAAAAATCAAATGAAGTTAGAGAAGTGAACTTACATGATAAGTTTTAAAGGAAAGTAAAAGCTGATAACAACAACAACAGCATAAAGCCTGGATATTATCAGTGACCAAGAAATCAGAAACCTGCCTAGTCCCAACATGTTTATTCTTAGCCTATGTAGAGGAGGGTCTTTGTTTGTCCCCTAATGAGCTCTCCCTCTTTGTTTGTACCTAATTCTGCTACTTCTTTGCTCATCTGTGTCTAGGATATTTTGAGACCTTGTTGTTAAGCTGAAGAAGATGTTGATTATCTTGGGCAGAATAAGTTGCTTGGTCTTGAGATATGCTTGAGATGCAGAACTGGATTGACACTGCCTATGTATTCCTTTCCAGACATGACTGTTTTATTATGGAAGAGTTTCCATGGAGTTACTAAGAGCAGGTTGTTCCAGCAAAGAATGCTGTGTCTGTATAACAATACTCATGGTTTTGAAGAAGATGAAATAAAGAAAAAGCTTCAGCAGTTTACAGGTGGCTCTGTTGACCTTTCTAAAGAAGATGATGGGATTGGAATACTTACACTGAACAATCCAAGGTTTATGAATGCATTTACAGGTAATAACAAAATGTTTGATTTCTCTGATAGCAGGCAAACTTAAAAGTGAAAAATGATACGTATCAGTTGTGGAAAAAAAAAAGATTTAATCACCAAGTTGTGCAGTGGCCTTCTCACTTGAACAAGGACAGAGTAAAGCGTGCGTGTGCGCGTTCTCTCTCTCTCTCCCTCCCTCCCTCTCTCTCTCTCTCTCTCTCTCTCAGTTATTTTCTTGAGCTTGCAGGAGCATCTGTCTTTCATGGTCAGATTCCCAACAGTGTCACTTGCTGTTGGCAGTACGTTGTCTGATGTGTGGATGTAGCTAACAGTTGTGTTGCTCTGGTGGAGAAGTTCTCCTGCCTCCTCTGTCCCTTTGATCTAAATCTTCCCTTGCAATTTTCCTTCTCATGAATAATAATTGTATTTGTAAAGGGATAAATGGTAATAGCACATGCAATTGTAGTTATAAAGCTGTACTCTAAAGATGTCACTTGACTGTTTTTTCTCTTAATGGCAGGAACAATGATGATAGAACTACAGGAAAGAATTATTGAACTGGAAAATTGGAAGGATGGGAAAGGACTTATCATCCATGGTGCAGGAAATACTTTTTGCTCAGGATCTGATCTGAATGCAGTAAGAGCACTTTCCAGTTCTCAGGCAAGTGATGGCAGAAATCAATTTGCCATGTACACCTTAACATTCTGAAGCATTTTTCCTTTAAAGAAAGTTGGCCCTGAAACTTAGTGCTGCAAAAAATAATAATAACAGTAATAGAACATAATTTTTTTTCTAATTTTGTGTTTGGTGCTAAGTGTCCAGTTGGCATTCCAGAAACAACTGACAAATTGCAAGTTTAGTTGTGATATTTTTGAGTTATTGCCTGTTTTCTTCAGTGTATTCCATTTAGACAGACAGACAGACAGACAGACAGACAGACAGATAGATAGATAGATAGATAGATAGATAGATAGATAGATAGATAGATAGATAGATAGATTTGGTTTAATTTCTTATACCATTCAGAAGAATAAAACTCTTTGTGGATCAAATTATAAGCATGATTGCTTTCCCAAGCTGTCAAAGATTATTGTTTTCCTTAAATTGCAGATCAGCTATGGAAAAGAAAGCAAAGTGGAGGAAGGGAGATCTCTCCTTTTGAAGAGAGAGAATTTTTTCCCCAATGAGAATCTTGGAATACCTTTCCTACCTTCATGGGAAACTCCATAGACCTTTTCTATCTAATCTTGGTGTTCTGAAGTTAGGGAAAAGACAAAACAGACAATTTTGGGGGCTATTCCTGAAAATGCATGGAATGGCTTTTGAACAAGTGCACTACCAATCCTCTTGCAGACTCCCCAAAAGCGGGCAGAGAGGATTTATGTCCATCTTGGACTAGAATAAATTATTTCTCTCCCATTGCTCATAGTAACAGGGTTAAAAAAAAAGACAGAAACCCCAGTCAGGAAGTGACAAAAAATATAAACTCTGGCTAAACTTTGAATATTTTGGAAGCCCATAGGGCAACTCTTTAGGTTACCCTGTGAGAGGAGGAAATCACACCCTCTCCCCCGTCATACTGTCTTCCTCTTTGCTTTTTCCCGCCATACAGTTTTCCTCCCTCAATCAAAGCAAAAGATTAAAATTTACAATTAGAATGGGCTCACACAAAAAATTAAAATGTGGCAGGAAGAGTTAATATTCCTTGAACTTAGCCAAAAGATCTCCTTAGTTGAATAACAGAAGATCTCTTCCCCGAAGAGATTAGCATTCCAATCAGCCGGTGCTAGATAGGCAGAAACCGCAGCTCAATGGGAGGCCTGCTTACAATAAAACCGCAGTCAGCAGGGTGCCTGGCTGCAGAGTGCTTCCTTTCGGAACTCCGGCTAAGTGCAATTTCTAAGAATAAAGAACACTTTTGCCTGCTTCCGAAAGAACAAAAGCAAGCCTTCTCTATATAAAGGGCTTGCAGAGAAACCAAAGGGCGGCTGCATCTGACAGCTGACTTTTCATGTTGTGCTCTCAGAAATAAAACTTTTATCTCTGTTTCAAGCAACTGCCTGCACATTTTTATTCCTGGCTCGGAAATGAACTTGGTAAGATTTCTTTCCAACACTTGTTAGAGTGTAATCCTATGACTTCTTACTTGAAAGTGAGCTCCACTGAACTGAATGGAACCTGATTTCTGAGAAGTTTTGTAAAGGTCTGATGTTAATTCTAAGGTTAGAATTAGTATGCTTGAAAATAAGTTCTACCCTGGGGATTTTTTTTTCTTTTTGCAAACTCCATAAATCTGGGAGAAATTCTCTTTGAACTCAGCAGGTATTTTATCAATTTTGTTCTCCTCAAGTACCTTTTTCTTTCTGCAACTATATTCAGCCACAGTCTTTTGTTTACATAATTGCAGGAGCAATAAAGGACTTGGATGCAGACAGCTGAAATATATTGTTGGTGTTGAATGATCCACCCACTGCTGTAATGTGACAATTAACAATAGATGGCAAGCTATGTTGAAAAGTGCTGTTTTTCCTGAAGCCAGTAATGTTGGACTGAGGAAGAAAGATTGTTTTCTTAATTTGTTCAGGGAGGCTTTGAGCCTTCATAGTTGGCCTCAGTATATTCTGATCCCTGCTGTTGTAGCTTCAGTTTGCAAAATATGAGAGTTAATATAAATATATTCCCTTAATTCATTAATTTGTGCAATTACCATCACCCAGGTTTGACTGAAACATACATATTTCATATATACACATACACATGAAATATATATATTTCATATATATACATACATACGTGTATATGCTTTACTGGTGAAATCCATGCACAACATGTTCTTTGTAGTACAGAATGGTATAGGACAATTAAGATATTAGGATAAATTTCAGCAGCAGCTTGTGGTGGTGGTTCTGGAAGGAATGGAGGTGTGTGCATGTGTGTGTGAGAGAGAGAGAGAGAGAGGGGCTGTATTTTTAAAGGTCATGAGTCAAGCTTCCAAAGGATTTGGGTAATGTTGTAGTAAAAATTACAAGCATGATCCAGCATACATAAGTGTGCCTCCTTTACATTGATTACAGTGGGAAAGTTAAGGAAGGGATTCCATCTTCCTTTTGGCTGAGTGGTTCCCTGTATTTTGTACTTCTTTTTCTTTGCTTCCTGTTGTCTGAAGCTGAGGATTGTGTTTCTAAATATGGGCAGGAATGCTCCAGTGGCCTTCAAGATCCTTGAAATTGAGTCTTCAGGCTGCATTTTGCTTTTAGCTTCTCTGTTCCGCAAAGAGTAGCTTTAATTGATTTTATTTTTACATTACTTCTCCTATGTATTGAGAATAATAAAAAATTTTCAAGTCCCAAAGAAACATGAAAATACCATCAAGATATTTTCTACTCTCATAGGTATACCTGAAGGAATCATCTATACCAAAAATGCCCAAAATTGAATTGCTTGTTGTAAATTGGGATGTTATAAATATGGCACCCACTGGAGTTTCAGGCTGTTTTGAAGCTCAGGCCACTATTGAATCTTAAGGGACAAGAAAGGGAAAACTCTGGCAATGCAGTTTCAGCTGGATAAAAGAGAAGCGTGAAAAGTTCAGTGATCTCATGAATGGGCTGCTAAACTTGGCCTGCCAAAAAACTGTTTCACATTCTGAAAGGGTTTCTGCTAACTGTGTGCTAAGATACAATAATCAATGTCCATTTTATGGTTATGCAAAGGAGAACTCAGTAAATCTTTCAGGCCATCTTATTAGAATGACTTGGGCCATTTGGGATCAGGGACTAGTTCAGATGTAAAATGTGGGAGTAGGAGATCTAACCTTGTGTTTATGTGTGTCCCCTCACCTTTTTCATTTCACTTTTGATTTTGATGTTAGAAATACAGGTAGTCCTCACTTACTGACTTCCTCATTCAGTGACTGCTCTAAGTTACAACAGTGCTGAAAAAAATAACTTTACGACCAATGCCCACATTTATGACCTTCTCATCATCCCTCAGTTATGTGATCGCCATTACAGTCAATATGCATTTGTCCTATGCCTGACCTATTGTTTTTCTTTTCCCCCTCCCCTTGCAGAGTGGAGAGATTGGAGAGGAAGAGATTACAAGAGAGTAAGCAAGTACACAGTGAGGAATACACATCGAAAGCAATGCACTGGCATTGATAGCCCTGAGTGCGCTATGCAAGCAGCCTGTTATTTTCCCATTTTGTGCCTGCTTACCCTTTTGTAATCCCTTCCTCTCCAATGAATGTACAACTACAAACATTAATGCCCTTCTTGCTAATTACCCAGCACCAGGGCAAGCATTCCATAGAGTAGGGGAGTGGGGAAAAGGAAAGCACAGTTGTAGTCACATGATTTTCCACTTAGCAACCACTTTGCTTAATGACAGAACTGCTGGTTTCAATTGTGGTTGCTAAATGAGGACTACCGGTAGACTGCTTGGCCATTATGCTCAGAATGGTTTGCCCATTTCAGATGTAAAGGCAGAATATAAGTTATTCAGTTTGAATGTAATGTCAGATCATAGTTTACAACTAAATTAGAAACACAGGAGTACTAAATCATATTGCATAGGACTCATTGGCATAGCGCTTACCCATATCTTGCAGTGACATCTGACCCACTGCTCTATTTGACCACTTTGATAGTCAGTAAAGCAATGATGTTGCAGGAAATCGCTGACAAGAGTACTCTATTCAGAAGTTAATATTCTGCTAATTGGAGGGAGCTCACAGGATCATTACTCTTTCTGCAGCTTAAAATCTCTTATTGTAAAGGAGATATATACCAGCCTTTCTCAACTTGGTGCCTTCCTATTCAGTTGGGCTACAGACCCCATTTTGATTGTAATCTGCACATAACTATAGGGCACCAGGGTAGGGAGGGCTGCTGGATAAGGTATGTAGAGACTAGTCTTGATTTAGGATAAAGATTTCCATTCTAAGCTGCTTAGAATTCAGGCTTCAAGCTTACTGTCAAATATAACAGTGAAGAGCAGAAACACCTTACATACAGAATTTGCTTTCTACGTGTGCTGTGTTGGCCTGCCAGAGGTTATGAACCCAAGCTGTAAGTTACTGAGCTACTATAATATAGCACATATGGCAGCTAGGGTCTAATTAAAACGATATGCTAGGTATGCATAACACTTATGGATGAATCCTTGTTTGCTTCCTGTGGCATGTTTCTAGATAAGGAGCATGAGGGGCATTGTTCATAGATGTAGGAATTAAAATAAATATAAATTGCAATGTAAAACAGATAGTTCTCTTCTGTTGGCAGGAAATTAAGTGCTTTAGTTTGAAATTTTACTCCCCTGCTACCTGTGTGGCTGCATAGCCATTTTTTAAATGAACCTTCTCTACAAGATCCAGTTGTATATAGGATCATGTGTTATTAGTTGGACACAGTACAACCATCCATTCTATCTTTTGGTGATAGGCATCTTGGTAAGAAAGATAAAACTGGAGGTTAATTCCAGCAACACTAGGAAAAACTGTGTCCTATAAATCTTGCATACGGGCTTCCTAAACAGTATCTGCTAAGCCTGTGGAAAACAGGATACTGCACTAGGTAGTTCTTCCTTTATTAAATCTGGGGGTTTGTATGAATCAATAGTCTATAGTTGTGTCTGGGCCTTTCCAATTTAAATCACTCTTGGCAATTACTTAATATGATGATGGTAACGGTTTACATTCCACAGTCTGTTTCAGCTGAATTTCTCTGTGTTAAAGCAGAATTGTCCTTTTTTTTTTTGTAATAATTTTTATTAAAGATTACAATTAGAAAACATAAAAACTAATACAAACTACAAAAATATAAGAATAATAAGAAAGAATAAAAAGTGTATAATAGAAAAAAAGAAAAAAGAAAGTATATAAAGAAGTAACTTTTCCCTTCATCACAAGTATAAGGAATTTTAGTAACTTATCATCTGTCAGGCCTAGCCCAAGGAACTCCTGGAGACCGTGCAGGTTCAATCAACAAGGTTTATTAGCTAGCGCTTATTTACAGAATCATCTCAGACTGACCAGTAGTTCCCAGG